GCCTGTAGTTCTCTTTTGGGTTGGGTCTTTCCCTGGTTTTGGAATCAAAGTCATCCTTGCTTCCAGGAATGAATTTGGAAGCCTTGCTTCCCTTTCAATTTCCTTGATGAGTTGAAAGAGTAATGGCAGTAGTTCTTCTTTAAATGTCTTGTAGAATTCAGCAGTGATGCCACCAGGACCTGGGGTTTTCTTTGTTGGTAAATTTTTTGTTACATTTGCAATTTCATGCATTGTAATTGGGGTGTTTAGAATTTCTATATCTTCATTTAACTTTGGCAATTCATATGTTATCTAGGAATCTGTCCATTTCTTCTGTGTTTTCCATTTTATTAGAGTACAGGTTCTCGAAATAGGTATTGATGCTCTGGATTTCTGCTGGGTCTGTTGTGACTTCACCTTTTTCATTCTTAATTGCATGGATTTGAGCCTTTTCTTTTTTTGATAAGGTTGGCTGAAGGTTTATTGATTTTATTTCTTCTTTTGAAAAACCAACTCTTTCATTTATTAATTTTTTTGTATCATTCTCTTAGTCTCCATTGCATTGATTTCTGCTCTGATCTTTATAATTTCCTCTCTTGTACAAGCTTTGGGTTTGTTATATTCTTCTTTTTCTAGGAGCTTTAGGTTCTGAATTAGGTTATTTATTTGAGTTCTCTCTGTTGTCCTAATATGGGCATTCATTGCTGTGAATTTTCCCCGTAGAACTGCTTTCATTGTGTCACATAGATTCCTGTATGTTGTACTGGCATTGTCATTTATTTGTAGAAACTGTCTAATTTCTTGTTTAATTTCCTCCATGACCCATTGGTTGTTCAGGAGGGTGTTATGCAATTTCCGTGTGTTTGTGGGAGTTTTGCAGTTTCTTATGTTATTGACTTCCAACTTTATTGCACTATGGTCTGGTAATATACAGGGGCTAACTTCAGTTCTTTTACATTTACTTAGACATGTCCTATGAGCTAGCATGTGGTCTGTGTGCAGCCGAAAAGAATGTGTATTCTGATTTTGTGGGGTGGAACACTCTGTAAACATCTATTAAGTCCATTTGTTCAATAGCTTGGTTCA